GTGGCCGAGACTGAGAGTTTACCACCTGTAAAAAAGCAGTATAACTCGCTAGACCAAAATTGGGCAACTTAAAGCCAATAACGGTTACCGCATACTTTCCATCCCCCAAACCTAATGCAAGAGTCTGACAAGGATTGAAAACACAAAAGGAAAACAGAACATAGCATCCGAAATAAAAGCAAACAAAACAGACAATAAATATAACATCATCACTTGTTTTCTTCACCAGCACCATCAAATGAAAACACGGCGGGTCTATGAGACTTGACCCGCCGCCTCCCCATTTTTTGGCCCATCCAGAGCCATTCCTTCACCAACGATATCCTCTTTGGTCTGATTTTCCCATATCTTTCTGTGCTTTGTATCTCCAGGAGTCTCACCTTTACCGCTTGTGATAAAATATTATAACAAGTCATTTTTTGTATTTTAACAAATGTAAAATAATTAGACCTAATTAGACTTAAAATAATTAGACCTAATAATTATCGTACTACGGAGTAGTATATATTACTAAAATAAAGATGATAAATAAAAATGTGACTTCTTATATATAGTGATTATATATTAAACTTTTAGGTACTATGATTAAATTTAAGAATACATTGTAGTTATCATGATGTTAATTTATAATAGTTTTAGTCACATTTTTATCAGTTAATTCAATAATATTTTAGGTAAAAAATCAAGTATCAATTGTTTATCCTCAACATTCATTGGGGATTTAGAGAAATATCTGCCAGGTGTATGTATGACAATCTTTATTGAATTGGACTTTGATATAATATGATCAGTTTTAAGCAATCCAACACATTTGGGGGTCCATTGGTGTACATGTCAACTGGAAATCCATTATGGAGTTCCGTTTTCATATAGGCCATGCTTTTCTTTCATATTCAATTGACCCCTCTCACAAAGACCAAGAAAGCATATACTCCAATTATTCATATGAAAAAAGGGGTTTGTCCTCAAATAATACTAATTAAAAGTATTTGGATTAAAAAAGAGACTTTTCTTTTAAGTTCCAAAAATAAGACTAAATAATACTTAAGGGACTATTACACCCTTACTAAGCCCAAACCCACTGGCCTGCTACAGTAACCCGTCACAGTGACCAAATGTGTAGTGACCAATGTTACAGTTACCAATGACATAGTTACAAAATCCACCAGTGACCAAAATCCATTAATAACCAAAATCCGCCAGTGACCAAAAATCCGTCAGTGACCAAAAGTCCAAAACCCGACAGTGACCAAAAATTAAAAATCAGTCTGTTACAACAGCCCATTTACCACCTGGCTCATCCAATTACAATTACTTGATCCGTCCAGTTACAGTTACCTCGTCCGGCCCGTCCAGTTACAGTTACATGACCTGCCCAGTTACAGTTATCCGACTCGCCCAGTTACAGTTACACGACCCGTCCAATTACATTTGCCCGACCCCTCTAGTTACAATTACCCGACCCCTCCAGTTACAATTACCTGAACCGTCCAGTTATTGCCCAACTCATTCAGTTACAATTACCCGTCCCATCTATTTACAGTTACCTTATCATTCCAGTTACAATTACCCGATCCGTCAGTTACAATTACCCAATTTGACCAGTTATCTGGTACGAGCATATACAATGGCCCGCTTAAAAATGAGCGCCGTCAACTATCACCTAGGCCATTACCGGCGACCACCACCGACAGCGACCATCGCAGCTGTCGACCACCGCTGCCATCCTCCACAGGCCCTGCCCCTACCACGCCCCCTGAATTGCATCACCCCTACCCCACCAGTCCACCACCCCAGTCCTGCCCCCTGCCCAACCACTCTACCCCTGCCCAATCACTCAACCCAGCCCCGCCCCTGCCTCACCCAACCCCCTGCCCCATCACCACCCATCAAATCCGGCGACCCCAGTCCAACCACCGCACCCACCATCTCCGGCGACCACTGTGTCTCTGCCGTCACTTCCAACCATCCCCCACAAGCCCTGGGCAGCCCCCCTCCAATCCCCTACCAACCTAGCCCCGTTCCAATCGTCCACCAGCCCAACCGGATACCCCATCGGTCACTACCCCAACTGTCACCGCCAGATCCAAACTTTTCCGATCTGAAAACCTAGCAACCAAGAACCCTAACCGACGGAAACACTCGACGGAAACATCAAAGTCACGGAAAAAGAATAAGACGATGTCGATTGGTGGATGTGAACTTCGAGCGAGGGAGTTGAGGTTGCTTGCAACAGTGATGGTGGGTGAGGGTGGAGCAGCGAACGGTGAAGTAGCATGACGGAAAATTAGAGACGAAGGATTGGTCGCACAAATAGACGGACTGGGCGCAGAGATGGAGAGGTGGGTGGTTGAGGAAGCCAGGGTAATTTGGTCTCTCTGCTTTTAGTTCGGTCTTATTTCTGTCCAAATTGGCATGTGGTCCTCAAATAATACTAATTAAAAGCATTTGGACAAAAAAAAGAGACTTTTCTTTTAAGATCCAAAAAATAAGACTAAATAATACTTAAGGGACTATTACACCCTTACTAAGCCCAAACGCAATGGCCTGCTACAGTATAATTAATTTTATCATTATAAAGTTATTAGTTTAGTCAGTAATAGAACATGACTTGTGTTATAAAATTTAGACAAAATTCTCAAACTAAGAGTAAAAAAGTTTGAAAATTCCAAAATAGTATCGTCATGTTTTTATTTCCAAAATAAGAGTAAGTGCTGTCAAGTTTGAGAAATATTACCATGGTTAAAGACTGCTACCACCAAAACATGATATTACCTCCGTCCCGTTGGAAGGTTCCCATAGTAAAACGGCACAGTTATTTAGGTGATAACTAAATAAAGTACTTCGGGTATATATTTTGAGAAATAATTTTAATAGGTATATATTATAATGTGTTAGTATTGATAACTGTGATGTTATAAATGTATTATATTTAATATTTAATGACTAATTTGTCACTTAAGATTGTTAATTGTTTCCTAAAATGGAAATGAGAACCTTCTAATGGGACGTCCAAAAAAGAAAAGTGGGAACCTTCTAACCGGACGGAGGGATTAGTAATTAGTCATATTTTGGGAAATAAAAACACGACAGTCTTATTTTTGAAATATACAAACATTTTTAGTTATAGTTATTAAAGTTTGATTCAATCTAAAAGCAGATGAGACTTTTAACATAGAGATAATAATAACATAATAATCAAAACTAGACCTAATAAACCTACACAACATGAGAAAGTTTCATCTCAAAGCTAGAAAATAAAATGCGTGGAGTATGGATGTTTTCTTTTGGACTGTTTTCAGTCCCAGATCAGACCAGACCAGATTTAAACAGACCAGACCAGACCAAAATTAAACAGACCAGACCAGACCAGACCAGACCAGACCAGACTTAAACAGACCAGACCAGACCAGACCAGACTTAAACAGACCAGACTAGACCAGACCAGACTTCCGTAGTTATAAAATACACAGAGACCAGACGTTTACCAGACCAGACCAGTTCAGACCAGACCAGACCAGACTTAAACAGACCAGACCAGCAAATTTCAGTCCAAAAGAAAACATCCTATGTCTTAAAATAATACACCGTATTTTTGAATAGGATGTTCGTCGGTTCGGTTAGGTCTGTTTCGGTTTTATCGTTAGGTTTTGATCGGTGTTTATTTTTTATTGGTTTCGGTTTTTCAATGGTCGGTTTGAGTGAGTTTCAAAATAGGTGAAATCAAGAATCGGACCAAAAAACATGAATCGTTTCTATCGATTTGTATCAGTTTCGCTCGATTATAGCTTGGTTTGGCTGAGTTTTGTCAGTCAATTTTGGTTGGGCCGGGTTTTTATCCTGAAAAGTATAAATCGTAAATCATATCACCAACGAATTAGTCAATTTCGGTTTTAGTTAGGGTTGGGCTATGCCTGGGTTGACCGGCCCGAACCGGTTTTAGTCATGGACCCAGTTCGGGCCGCCCCGCCCGGGACCGGCCCGGCCCGCCACTGTGCGGGCCCGGAGCCGGCCCGGTTCTCGGGTCCGGGTCCGGGTCGGGCCTAGGCCCGGTGGGGGGGGGGGGGGGGTTCGGGCTCGGGCCTTGTATTTGGCGAACCGGCCCGGCCGAGTCGGGCCCGGGCCAAAAACTGTTTTTTTTTTTCATTTTTTTGGGCTTTATTGAGTTGGGCTTGATGTTTAGGACCGGTTTGAGGGGTGAGGGGGGTGGGGGGTGAGGGGGGGGGGGAAGAAAAGAAAAAAAAAATAAACTAACCGGGTGGCCCGGCCCGGTCCAGCCCGGAACCGGTGGCCACTGGTTCGGGCTCGGGCCCAACAAAACATACCCGAGGCCCGGCCGGGCCTAGGCCCGAACCGGCCCGGGGCCATCTCTAGGGGGAGGGGGGGCTACAGGTAGGCAGTTTGTTGGACCGGCCCGGGCCCAAAATGTTTTTTTCGAATGGATTGGGTCATTTGGGTGCTAGGCGGGTGGGGATGGGTGGTTTGGGGGATCGGAGGGTAGATAAATAAGAAAAACCAAAATTTTAAAAAATATATATATGACCCGACCCGGGGGCCAGTACCGAGCCTCCGTTCCCATACCCGGTCTCTCCCAAAGTCCGAACCCAGACCCGGTCCATCCCCTGTTTTAGTCATCATTTTTGGTCGATATGATTTTGATCGATGTGTAACCTAATTTCGTTTTTTTTCGTTCACCCCCTATTTTTGATACATACACATTCATATGTATTAATGTATCATCCATTTACAGAATATTGACGGGTTTGATAGATATGAATGTACTTTTTTTTTTTTTTTTTTTTTTTGAAAGATATGAATGTACTTATGTACACACAAATGTACAAAATTGATGTATTCACAGGTTAATGTAATTTATTTCATTTAAGTAAAAAAGTACTCCGACCCTCATTATTATTATCCCTAATTAAAATGGAATAAAATGATTGAGTCGTAACGGTTAAGGTGAACGTTAAAAAAAACTTCACTCAATTCGTGACTGATTCCGACCCTCATTATTATTATCCCTAATTATGCCAGGCAGGAAATGAAGAAGAAGCGTGTTTCTCCAATTCCTGCGACCATCAATAAACAACATCAATTGCGCTACCGAGTAGGAGAAGGAAATCGTCTTCAACCATGGAATTCGAAGTTTGATCATCCACTGTTCAGACGCGGAGGCAGATTCATCCATCGATCCCTACCCCGCTCCGTCTCAGATCTCCGCCCCTCTCCCCCCCAAGGCCATGCGCCAGCGGAAAACTCCGGCGACACCACAACAACTGCAAGCTGAAACCGCCGCCGATCCACCTCGCTACCGTGGGGTCAGGAAGCGTCCATGGGGTCGGTTCGCCGCAGAGATAAGGGATCCGGCCAAGAAGGCCCGCGTGTGGCTCGGCACCTTCAACACCGCGGAGGAAGCCGCCCGCGCGTACGACGACGCCGCCCGCACCTTCCACGGCCATAAAGCCAGAACCAATTTCAGCTTCGCCGATCATGGCCGCCACGATAACAATATTAATAATAACAATAACCATAGCCGCGGCAAGATGATTGTTCCGCTTCCGCCCGAGAATCACTTCCAAGGCTTTCCGTATTCCAGGCCGGCCAGCAGTAGTCTGAGCAGCACAGTGGAGTCGTCTAGTGGGCCCCATCCTCCCTCTGTTCCTGCTGCACAGCAACCGCGTCCAAAGCTTCCTCCGCTAGACGATTGCCGGAGCGATTGCGATTCTTCTTCAACGGTGGTAGACGATGAAGATCAAGACCAGACCACGTCATCGCTTTTTACCAAAAAGCTCCTGCCCTTTGATCTCAACCTGCCCCCTCCCTCCCCCGATCACCTCATTGCCAACGAGTTAAAGGTCACCGCCCTGCGCCTCTGATTGAGCACCATGAATCGGTGATGGTATCCCTAATTTATATATTATTACATACATATAATAATATTTTATAAACATTCGCCGAAAAAGTTGTTCCCATTCGCATCTTCCAGAATTTTCCACTTTTCTTTTTAAATTTTTATTTTTCCACTGCTTATTTAGACTGGGTGTAGTGTAGATTTAGTAATGGAACATGAATGTGAAATGGGTACGATCTTGTATCAAGGAAGATTTGTTTCTACATAACATTATAATTTATATATGTATTCTGATGTACACTTAAATCTTACCAACGCATTATGCATATATTTTCTGGCTATTCCTACCATTTTCAGTCAATTATTTTCCTATATGACTAAAAAAAACTGCTGAAAAAGAGCTCATTTAGCAAAACAAGCAAACAAGGAACACAAAGGTAGGTGCGGCTAGGTGAGCATAATATACAGGTGCAACTGCATAAAGAAAGCAAATGAGATATAAATAGATTGCCGGACTCTTGTTTTTCTGGTTAAATCAATGGCTAGAATGCTAGATGTTCTTCCACTTCCAAAGTAGTTGTACCTATTGAGGTGGCTATAGTGCTCCTTTGGTGCCTGAAAGTTTTGAAGCAGATAATGGCCTTGTGAGTAAGGTGCAGCACATGCTGGGAGGAAAGAAAGACATGTACTGGAGAGGGGGCGGGTCAGGAAGCAGCTTAAATGCAACACAGAGAATGTACAAGGCTTTGCAAGTCATCAGGAGAGAAGCCAATCTCATCACACAAGTACACAACTGACACAAGACATGGTAATGTGCAGGTTGAGTTGTCCCCTGTTGGAGATAAAGACATATTTTCATCCAGTCAGTCTGTATTTTCCCCAGTTAGACTCAGTTTGTTTCAAGGAAAATGTCGTCTTAGAAGGTGTTTTTTCCTACTTTCCAGTGGGGAAAATGACATCGCTTTTTAACCATGTTTTAAAGCAGAGGGTCATTTTTCTCAAATTTTATATGGTTTCTGTTTTCATGACTCAAATACTATGTTATATACTCTGTCTTGACGTTATTTCCAATCTTTGTTTTATGATGTTAGAAGGCATAAGATCTATGACGGACTAACAATAATCATACAAATAAGTGAATAACTCTGTTAACTAATTTTACAGGTATTTCAGAAGTTATAGTTTTCAAAGAAAATAGGAAACGTAAAGAGAAAACGACACAGAATGAGGCCTTAATTATTTGAAAAACATTTCCTGCAACAAGTGATTTCCTTGGAGCCTTAGTAATTACTCCGTAGGTCTCAAACTAAAACACGATTTCATGTAATTACAACTAACATTTCTTAATGAATTAAGTAAAATGAACACCAACAACCAAGGTTCATCACTGGGTGAGAGCACACGTGTAAAAATCATAACGTAATTCAACCAAACAAATGAATGACCAAATGTGAAGTTAGATATGATGATTAAAATAAATTATGATGTTTGAGAGAGTGGTGCCATTGACAGATCAGATAAAACATATTACCTTGATCATTCATCCAACTTGATGCTTAACGAAATTGTGATTCACCAACACATCCCTGAGGAAGATTTTTGTGCCATGACATTAATAATACTAAAGCCTGCAAATACAAGAACATTAGAACGTGGGCACAACATACAATTAACTCCATAGGATGGGAGTGAGGAGAAAATACCATATTTCAATATTAAGTTCCACAAAAAATGAAGATGAGATGTACTTTTAAAACTTTCAATGATAATAAAATGAAACTTTGACATGGATAATCTCTGCTACAAGTTTCATCTTCATAAGCAACCAGACCAGACTCATAAAATGGTGGAATACCTGAAAACAATAATTTGAGCTGGTTTGCTCCCATTCCTTGTTTGATAAAAGTCCACATGCAGCTCTCTGTAGATCAGTTCATATGCATTTTAGAAAGAAAAAAGACTGCTATTTAAATCTTCATAACTCATAAGTAAACATATGTACAGAGATGAAAATCAAGATAACTCCAAATTTAATTGTACCTCATGTCCTCATGATACCATCGTCCTCACTATCTGCTAAAGGCTTATATAGAGATTCAACCATTTCTACCTTAGAAGATTGAGTTCGAACAGCAGCCTGTTGTTTCGAAATCAATGGCCAAAACCGGGATTCAACCACCTGGCAGACAGAAAAACGCAAGAGATTAGGGAGAAATTTTTCTAACTGGTATTGTACTATCGGTGTATCTTTGCCCTAAAAGCGATAAGGTAAAGAAGAATGACCGCAGCAACGGATGAGCAGTAACTGCTGCTTTATTCAGAGGATGAGCTGTAACTAGAATAAAGCAGAAGGTACAACTGGAAAATAACATAAATTAGAATCTAATAGTCTCTAGCCCAATTGCATCCTCCCATAGAGAGCCGAGAGCGTGTCATCCAAATAGGAACCTCTTGAAAAATAGACAAACCTTTTGACGCTTGATGCGATGCATTTGCCAAAATGCCTGTATTTATTTCCTTCGCGAAAAGTATGTTGTAATTTATTAAATCTCTCTTTGGTTAAGAGTTTCTGACAATCCCACACAAGTATTCCCATACTATTAGCATTCTGTCCATCTTTATTCTTCAGAGCCTGAATTATACTTTCAAGAAGCCCCTGTCTAGTGCCCAACAGCTCTGCCTTAAAGCTATCAGTTTTACCAATATTAAGCATAAAACCACTCACCCATTCCCCTTCATGGTTTCGTATTAAACCACCAGCTCCAGCCACCTTATCCCTACCCCAGCAAGACCCATCACAGTTGACTTTCAAACAACCTACTTCTGGTGGAATCCATCTAATAGGTTTAGCTACTCTTTGTTGTTTGATTTGATTCAAAGAGCAAACAATTGTATATGCTGCAACTAAGAGTTTGGCAGCCTTCCAAAGGCGGTGCACATCTGGTTGAATGCCCTGAAAATCTCAAATATCAGCGCATTTCGTGTGTCTTCCAAATCAACCAAGTTGTGTAAGCAAATCTAGAATCTTGCAGATTTCTGCCTGGATCACTTCTAGAGTTATGACAGTGGCTATAAATCCAATAAAAAATTTTTAACATATCCTCACCCATTCTATTTATCTCGAGGCCAATTTCTCTCCAAACTGAAGCCACGGGAGAACAATCCTCTAAGAATATACAGCACTGTTTCTTCCTCAATGTTACATATTGGACATCAAGCATCATCAGCCATTTGTTGCTTCTCCCTTTCCACATTTGTAAGCAATTTATTTTTCAGCACCAGCCATAGAAAACATCTGACCTTCTCTGCCACTAGGATATTCATATACTAAGTTGTTTCAGGGAAAACCCCATATTGAGGGTCAAGCCAGCATGAGTTGTGCGAAAGCAAGAATGGAACCCTCTACAACCAGTTACACCCCCGCCAATTTCAGTACAGTTTCTTGAGTCGTCAAGAAAGAATGACTGACCAACCAAGAGGCAACCTCTGTAGGAAGCAATTGTTACAATAGGTAACAAATGTCTTAAAGAGGCCATAAAGAAATCTTGATATGTCTTAGCTGAAACAAATGTTACACGTGACATGAAGAAGTAATTTGCTGCCTATTAGCTGCTCATTGTCTCAGTATAACGTCAAGGACCCTCGGTGCATTTTGACCATGTTCTGGGTCAGCTCCTTCAAGGGCATGATACACCGAGCTAAGGTATTTTAGCAGAATAAGTTATCTCCACTATGAGCGTCCTTGGTTGTAAAGAGCCCTTGGACCTTTTAACAGAATCACCAAGGAATCCACTGGTCCATGTGTAAGAGCATAATACACGAATAAGATCAACATAAAGAGGTGGAGCTATCCTAGTTGCTAAACATATGAAAGATTTTAAAACTAAAAAGTGTAGTGGTCTTAAGGTGGAGAGGATACAATACAGGCTGGAGTGCGTTAACCTAGAGTATTTCAACATCTAAGTTTATCATTCTCATACTTCTTAATGGACATTTATGCGAAAGAAATGAGAAGCAATGCACATAGTGAAAGAAATTACATTTTGCCCGTAGCCTCTTCAAGAACTACAGTATACTTCATGTTGTTCTGTTCTAGAGCTCCACTGTGTACAAACATCATTCTCCATCATATGCAAACCTCTTCCCAGAAAATTCAGAAGAATATGTTTGATGAAGTTTATGACTTTTCTCCCAATGCAGCTGCCATTAACAGCCTTTTTGTCCTCACAAGTAATAGTAACCTGTCATAACATTCTCTAATACGTTTCTCCCCACAACATGCTGCCTCGAATTAGGATGAAACTCATGAAAGTGAAGTAAATTACTTACGCTGTACTGGCAAAAAGTTTCATCGGGACACTTCACAGAAACTCTAAAATGATATGCAAGTAGATTGATGTGTCTCCCAGAAGTCTCAAACCTTGTCCTTGACATAGTAGAACTTTTTGGTCAAGTTCTTCTTGCTTTGCATCTGGATGTATGGCTGTAGGTGGAGCAGGCACAAACAAGGAGCCATTTTCGGAAGACAGCATAGGTAAGCAACCACTTCCATTCCTATCATTAGTTGTTCCCATATCTAACACTGGAAAGCATCCTAATTCCTAATATAGTTAGAATAGGAAGTAGATAAGCATCTTATTTGAAAAGAGTCACATGCATGGCATTGAATAGCAGGATGCACAAAATGAATATAAACTTGTTTAGAACTCCAGATTTCATGAAATGAATATAGAAATTGCTCTAAACAGGACTAAAACATAGATGAAATGCACAAATAGGACTATATGTGTTTTATTTCCAACATAGGACTTATTTGATCCTATCAAAAGTACTCCGTATAAACCTTCCCCTATTAGGAATGAATATGTCCAAAGTCCAATTTTAGGAAGAAAACAGTGGTGGTCCTATATGTGCATTTTGTCTATGTTTTAGTTCTATATAAGGAATTTTTCTCAAATGAATTCTAGTAAGAATGAACTTTGGCAAGTAATATCGAAAAATTCAATGGTGATGCTCTTTCAATTGCAATGGTGCCTTGAATAAAAGAAGATGAACATGCTACAAAATTAGAGAGTAGCTGCAGGTGTCCTCAGAACTGCCTGAACTTAGTATGCCCTCTTTTGAAACAAGAAATTTAGTCAGTAAACGTGATAAGAGTGACTCATGTAATCAAAGAAATCCATAAGTAGTCATGTATCTAAACATCTTCTCAAATGTAAAACTGAATAATAGATAGATTATATACAAGCTTCTAATAAAACAGGAGGGCAACGCAACTAAGAAACAAACGGTCATTCATTGAAAAATTGCTTTCGCAATACACATATGTGTGTGTTTGGATACGTGCAACCCCTCCCGCATATGTCCATCAACCCCCAAAGGTAAGAACAGGAAAAAGATAAATGGCAAAATCCAATCTAAAATTACAAATAGAAAAATGGAACTGAGACATTAGATAGATCATAACCCGGGAGAAGAATAGAACACAAACGACAATCCAACTTGGCATCACGAGCTTGCTCGAAACGATACTAGCCTAGCTAACCTTTGACAGCAGCAATGGAGAAACAAAAACTAGCAATTCATACGGCTATATGCAGAGATAGCAGTGGTTTGCGATTATGGTGCAGACAAAATCTTTTGGTTTTAGACAGATGGAGAAGACGAAGACGCTCGACTTAGCAGGGCACCGGCGCGGCCTCTGTGGGAGGTTCAGTCTGGAGAGTGTTTCGTGGAGTGCAGGAAAAGAGTGAATATTGCTAGTCAACTCTATGCTAAATTAATTGCTAATGCTGGCTCAAAACTTGGAGTACTTTTTTTTAGGGGTTTAATGCACCAAACCCCCTCTGATTCGGAAATTCGGCGCATTAGTCCCCTGTGATTTAAAAAATACGTCAAACCTCCATGTGTTTTAATTAATCATGCACAGAACCCCCTTTATGAATAAATTTAACGATTTGAAAATCACTTTTCATAATATTTTGATTGAATATGCAAATAAATATGTTAAAATCTCTGAATCATACAAAAATGTTAATCATTTTTCTTTTATTTGACAATTGAATTTGTTCACATAAGGGATTTGGCGCATGATTAATTAAAACACAGGGGGGTTTGACACATTTTTTAAATCACGGGGGGCTAATGCGCCGAATTTCCAAATCACAGGGGGGTTTGGTGCATTAAACCCCTTTTTTTAGAGTTTTTTCCCAAAATAATGTCTTTAAGTAAAAAATTATTTCTCAAAATAGATTAGTTTAAAAGTATTTCTCAAAATACTGCTCCCCTAAACCCTACTTAAGAGAGTTGTCACTTGAAATGACGATTTATATGGAATAGGTGCCCACTAATAAATGAAATCCCAATTTTATTTAAATGTGATATAACTTTTTTATTTGTACTCTGGTTATTACAAAAATTATATCAAAATTCATAACTTTTTATTATCTTTCATATGACATCAATATTCAATATATAAAAATAAAAAATAACACTTTAAAAATATTTTTGTGAATGTTATACAAGTATTTTATTTATTTGTACTCTGATTGTCACAAAACATATACTCCGTATCTAAATTCATAATTCTTTCTTATCTTTCATAAGACACTAATTTTGAATATATATAAATTTAAAAAAAATCTATTAATTTGTGAAATTTAGAATCAATTTTATCGTGCAAACAATTAATCAGGAGAAATATGTTAGAATAAGGATGTTTTTACTTGTACTGTAATCCGTCCAAGATCCGACCAGATCAGACCAGACCACACCAGAACAAATTAGACCAGACTTGAATAGTTATAAAAATACAGAGAAATCAAACATTACCAGACAAGACTGGACTAGCAAATTACAGTCCAAGTAAAAATATTCTAAAACTGCACAAACTCCATCACCTTTATTTATTATTTTAATCTTTGTGCAGTTTTATTATAAACTATCACTACTGTCTACTGATTAATTATGTCCACAGTAAAAAAGCGATCATAAACTCCATAAATTAATATAATTAATTTTTTAATGGTTATATCTTCAAAATTAGCGTCTTATGAAAGATCGGAAAGAATTATGAATTTAGATATATTTTTTGTAACAATCGGAGTACAAATAAAAAAGGATATAACATTCACAAAACTATTTTTAAATTGTTAAATTATTTTTTTATTTTTATAGATTGAATATTGGTGTCATATGAAAGATAATAAAAGGTTATGAATTTTGATATATTTTTTGTAAGAGTCAGAGTACAAATAAAAAAAATTTATATCATGTTTAAATAAAATTGGGATTTCATTTATTAGTGGGCCCTTATCCCATGTTCCCTCCCTCCGTGCTTGGCTGCTTTTTTTGTATATAAACCGCCAATTAAGTGGCGGCTTTCTTAACTAGGGTTTAGAGTAGCAGTATTTTGGGAAATACTTTTAACCTAATTTTATTTTGGGAAATACTTTTTTATTTGACATTATTTTGAGAAAAAACTCTTTTTTTTTCTCTTGAAACTTTTAAAAACATTCATATCCATCATTCATAATATTTCCATACAAAAAATCAATTTTGCAACACAATTTGAGACAGAAAGAGTAATACGAGTATAATAATGTGTCACATTTACACTAAACATAAATTATTTTATTATATTAGTCGATCGTTCTCCAATTGCTATATCGTGGGAGCAGCCTGCATGCATGTGGCTCCTACAAGCAAAACACGTGTGTTACTGTCTCGTGTAAAAAATCACTTTCATATGTGTTATGGGCATCTTGTATCCTCCTGCACGACCCAAGCTACACTCTTTCTTGCACCAAATGCAAGTTGCCCACCACATCTCGATCTTTAGGTCCTTTCTCTTTTCAAAATTGTTTTGCATAAGGTAAATGGAAGAATTACCTTATATCTTTAAAATGGTAGATTGGTAGGAGAATAAGAGAGGAGAAAGATGGAGAAGAGTTGGAGAAAAGGTGTAGGAAAATGTATGAAAATAGGTGTATTTATAGGAATTTTTTAACCCCCACCCCCACCCCCGCCCCGGGACCCCAGCCAAGTCCCAACGGATATATAGCCATTTGGGAGTATTGGGACTACTTAGTTAAAAAAAAATATTAATTTCAAAAAATTACATATTGTAAAATTAATTAATTACTTTAATTAATTAAATAAAGCTATTTGTACTTGGGAAATAGGTGTGTTTAAACAAATTACGTATTGTAAAAATGTAAAGCTATTTTTAATTTAAAAACATCCTTTACAAAATTATTTGTAATAAGTTGTAACCATCTAATTAATTTGAGAAGTGCTACGTATAAAAAAATGAACGCATATTTATTTGAAATATGAAGTATATTTATTTGAAATATGAAGTACAAGTTTACAAATTATAATTGAGAATTGAGGGAAAGATTAATAAATTTTATAATAAGTTTACAAATATGAAGTACAATATGAAATACAAGATTACAAAGATTAAAACATGAAATACATTTTCTGAAAAATTTGTAAAATACTAATCAATCGGAATCTCCGGCATAGGTAGATCCACCCTCGGTTGATTCATCCATAAAATCTTGGGAGGTGGTGATGCTAATTTCTTGAGTTCTACGTATGGTCTTTAACCAATCGTGGTAGCATACAACCGTCTCAAGAGACTCCGCGCTCAAACTCGTTCTAGATGTCGTTAGGACATTCCCGGCCGCACTAAATTCTTGTTCCACGACAACCGTTGAAACCAGCATTGATAGCACTTGCTTAGCCATCCGTGCTAAAATTGGGAACATTCTTTCCTTTGACTTCCACCACTTTAGAACGTCAAAGTCCTCATTTTCGTCATACTCAACCTCGTAATTTATATACAAAGCAATCTCATGAACTGTGCTTTGTTCAGTAGCGTGAGTTGTTTTATTTTTTTCATAAGATTGCCAAATGCAGATTTAGAAAGTGATTTTCTTTTAGATGAAGATGTTTGTGTCCGGGAGGGGGCACGTTGGCATATTGTGCATGAAACTCATTAAATAAGGCATAAAATAAAGTACTAACCTCATTGTATTCAACTTGTGGATCTATCTCATTATCTTCATACATTGGGAATTCACCAAAAAAAGCAAGATAATAGAACTTGAAACATTCTTCCAAACTACCAAGTCTAAAACGAGGATCGAGAATAAATGCTATACCATAAATATGCGGAATATGTGCATAACATTTTAAAAACTTTTCTTTCATAAAATCACAAAAATAACTAACGTAATTGGCATCCGAAATTGTTGAAAAGCATCGGCGAGATTAACAGCTTCACGAATAAATTGGTTTGAGGTAGGTTTATAAACATGACTAAAAGTTTCAGTTGCATTAAAAAAATATACCAAAGCATTACAAATTTTTTCGCAGGTGTCGATCGCAGCCGAGTTTATAATACAGTTATCATGTTCTTTTAAAAAAGTAGGAAAATGTTCTTTATATCTAAGAAGAACTTTAATTATTTGTAAGTATCTTTGTTCTAAAACTCGCTAGCTTAGGCGCTAGTCGGGCGGTTGAGGGGCGCCTAGCGCATAGGCGGCCGACTAGGCCGATTTTTTGGCCGACTAGGCCGACTAGGTCTCCACGGTTAGGGCCGACTAGGCCGCTTAGGCCGATTAATCGGTCCGCCTAGGCCGAGTTTTAGAACAATGGTAAGTACTATTCCATCGAATAGACAAATCTTTAGGAAAAACAATATATTTAACACCTCGTTCAGTCAAATAATTTTTCCATTTCAATCTAAGTTGGCCATTAGCCCAAACACGTCTAATCCCCCCTTGACTACCTCCATAGCATCTCCTAACGCTTTGAGACCGTCTTGCACACATAAATTAATAACATGACATGCACATCGTTGATGAAAAAATCTACCCATCAAAGTATTAGCACCACATAATTCATGCAATCTAGGAATAGCATCAGTATTGTTAGTAGCATTATCAAAACCTATAGTAAACACCTTATCAAACAAATTATACTCAATTTAAATACGCTCAATCAAAATAAAAATATGTTCAGCGGTGTGACGCTCATTAAATTCACGAAAAGCAAGAACACGTTTATGCATATTCCAATCATTATCGATATAATGTGCAGTCAAACCCAAATAATATATTATGAAAACTATCCTCCCATATGTCAGAACAAATAGTAACATGTCCATCAAAGTTTGCAAAAAAATTAACTAACCTTGCCTTTTCCGCACGATAAAGCCGTATAATTTCTTTCTTCACCGTTTTGCGACTATAACCTCTAAATTGAGGATTTAAACAACCTTGTGCATAATCTCTCAAAGCAAGACTTTCAGAAAACAAATAAGGCAAATTTTCTTCAACAAGTAAATTAGTCATACCAGTCAAATTTTGTGCATCATTGTAAGAGAAATTATCATAAGGTTGGTCATTTGCAAACCTCGATATTTGTGTTTGCTTCCCCTTGTCTTTCTCCGCTATTTTTGCATACTCCACCCGGTGCTTGGACATAAGATGCCTTTTGAGGCTCTCGTATCCGCCAGAATTGAAATTCCCAAACTATACTCCTTATTGTTTGATTATTGGACTTATACTACATTTTTTTTAACCCGGAAGGCAAACCACCAAAATCAGTGGGGTAAATGCCGGGTGTCATTTACCGGTGTATTATTAATATAATAGAATAAACAATGATGAGGGGCGGAATAGACCAATACCCCTACAAAAAAGGCATACCTCCTCGAAAAGTGAAATACAA